TTACTGTGTGCGTGTTGCCGTGTAGGTGGCGGTGTGTAGTGCGGTGTTCGGCTGTGTAGTGTTGCCGTGTGGGTGTTCTGCTGTGTAAGGTGTTGCCGTGTAGGTGTGCACTGTGTAAGTGTTGCCTGGGTGTTCGGCTGTGTAAGTATGCCGTGGGTGTGTCGCTGTGTAGTGTTGCGTGTGGTGTTCTGCGTGGGCTGTCGTGTAGGTGTTCTCGTGTAAGTACTGCCGTGGGTGTTCTGCTGTGTAAGTGTGTTGTGGGTTGCCGTGTAGGTGTTCTGCTGTGTAGGTGTTGCCGTGTAGGTGTTCTTGCTGTGTAAGGTGTTGCCGCAGGGTGTTCTGCTTGTGTAAGTGTGCTGCCGTGTAGGTGTTCTGCAGTGTAAGTGCGTCGCAGGTGTTCTGCTGTGTGGGTGTGTCGTCGTGTAGGTGTTCTGCCGTGTAAGTGTGCTGCCGTGTAGGTGTCTGGTTGCAAGTAAGTTGCCGTGTAGGTGTTCTGGTGTAAGCGTGCCGTCGTGCAGGTGTTCCGCTGTGTAAGTGTTGCCGTAGGTGTTCCGCTGTGTAAGGTGTGCCGTGTGAGGTGTTCTGGCTGTGTGAGTGTTGCCGGTAGGTGTTCTGGTTGCGTAAGTGTGCCGTCGTGTAGGTGTTCCGCTGTGGCGTTGCCGTGCAGGTGTTCTTGCTGTAAGTAGCTGGCCGCAGGTGTTCCGTTGCGTAAGGTGTTGGCGTGTAGGTGTTCCGCCGTGCAAGTGTGCCGTGCAGGTGTTCCGTGCGTAGTGCTGCGCAGGTGTTCCCATGCAGGCCGTGCAGGTGTTCCGTCGTGTAAGTGTGCCGGCCGTGTAGGTGTTCTGCGTGTAAGGTTGCAGGTGTTCCGGTCGTAAGGTTGCCGTGCAGGTGTTCTGCTGTGTATGTGCCGTCGTGTAGGTGTTCTGGCTGCGTGTGTTGCCGTGGTAGGTGTTCCGGTTGCAAGGTTGCCGTGTAGGTGTTCCTGCTGTGTAAGTGTTGCCGTAGGTGTTCCTGGTTGTGTAAGGTGTCGTCGTGTAGGTGTTCTGGTTGTGTGGGCGCCGGGCCGTGCAGGGTGTTCCGCTGTGTGGTTGCCGTGTAGGTGTTCTGCTGTGTAAGTGTTGCCGTGTAGGTGTTCTGCTGGTGTAAGTGTGCCGTCGTGTGGTGTTCCTGGTTGTGGGCAAAGCCGCCGTGTAGGCTGTTCTGCTGCGGCGTTGCCGTGTAGGTGTTCCGCTGTGTAAGTGTGCTGCCGTGCAGGTGTTCCGCTGTGTAAGGTTGCCGTGCAGGTGTTCCGCTGTGTAAGTGTTGCCGTGCAGGTGTTCCGCTGTGTAGGCTGGCCGTGTAGGTGTTCCGCTGGTAAGGGTGGTCGCCGTGCAGGTGTTCCGTTGCGTAAGCGGCCGTGTAGGTGTTATTGCGTAAGTGTTGCCGTGCAGGTGTTCTGCTGTGTAAGTGTTGCCGTGCAGTGTTCTGGCTGTGTGGGCGGCTGGCGTGTAGGTGTTCTGCTGTGTAAGTGTGCCGTGCAGGTGTTCTGCTGGTAAGTGTTGCCGTGTAGGTGTTCTGTGTGGCAAGGCCGTCGTGTAGGTGTTCTGGTTGTGTGGGCGTTGCCGTGTAGGTGTTCCGCTGTGTAAGTGTTGCCGTAGGTGTTCCGCTGTGTAAGTGCGGTTGCCGTGTAGTGTTCTGCTGTGTAAGTGTTGCCGTGCAGGTGTTCTGGTTGTGTAAGTGTTGCCGCAGGTGTTCTGCTGTGTAAGTGTTGCCGTGTAGGTGTTCTGGCTGTGTAAGTGTTGCCGTGTAGGTGTTCTGTGTGTGTGCTGCCGTGTAGGTGTTCTGTCGTGTAAGTGTGTGCCGTGGGTGTTCTACTGTGTAAGTGTGCTGCCGTGTAGGTGTTCTGCCATGTAAGTGTGCTGCCGTGTAGGTGTTCCGCTGTGTAAGTGTTGCCGTGGGTGTGCTGTGTAAGTGTTGCCGTGTAGGTGTTCTGCTGTGTAAGGTGCTGCCGTGTGGGTGTTCCGTCGTGTGGGAGTGTGCTGCCGCGTAGGTGTTCCACTGTGTAAGTGTGCTGCCGTGTGGGTGTTCTGCCGTGGGGAGTGTGTGCTGCCGTGTGGGTGTTCTGCTGTGTGGGCGTGTTGCCGTGTGGGTGTTCTGTGTGTAAGTGTTGCCGTGTGAGGTGTTCTGCTGTGTAAGTGTGCTGCCGTGTAGGTGTTCTGCTGTGTAGTGTGCTGCCGTGTGGGTGTTCTGCTGTGTAAGTGTGCTGCCGTGTGGGTGTTCTGTCGTGTGAGGTGTGCTGCCCGGCGTGGGTTCCACTGTGTGGGAGTGTGCTGCCGTGTGGTGTTCTGTGTAAGTGTGCTGCCGTGTGGGTGTTCTGCTGTGTGGTGTTGCCGTGTGGGGGTTCTGCTGTGTAAGGTGTTGCCGTGTAGGTGTTCCGCTGTGTAGTGTGCCGTGTGGGTGTTCTGCAAAGTGTGCACCGCGTGGGTGTTCCACTGTGTGGGAGTGTGCTGCCGTGTGGGTGTTCTGCCGTGTGAGTGTGCTGCCGTGGGTGTTCGCTGTGCAGGTTGCCCGTGTAGGTGTTCTGCTGTGTAAGTGTTGCCGTGTAGGTGTTCTGCTGTGTAAGTGTGCTGCCGTGTAGGTGTTCTGCTGTGCAGTGTGCTGCCGTGTGGGTGTTCTGCGCGGTGTGTGCTGCCGTGTAGGTGTTCCTGCTGTGTGCAGGTGCTGCCGTGTGGGGTGTTCTGCTGTGTAAGTGTTGCCCGTGTGGGTGTTCTGCTGTGTAAGTGTGCTGCCGTGTAGGTGTTCTGCTGTGTAAGTGTTGCCGTGTGGGTTCTACTGTGTGAGTGTGCTGCCGTAGGTGTTCTGCCGTAAGTGTGCTGCCGTGTAGGTGTTCTGTTGTGTAAGTGTTGCCGTGGGTGTTCTGCTGTGTAAGTGTTGCCGTGTAGGTGTTCTGCTGGTGTGGTGTGCCTGTAGGTGTTCTGCTGTGTGGGAGTGTGCTGCCGTGTAGGTGTTCTGCTGTGTGGGGTGTGCTGCCGTGTGGGTGTTCTGCTGTGTAGAGTGTTGCCGTGTGGGTGTTCTGCTGTGTAGAGTGTGCTGCCGTGGGTGTTCTGTGTAAGTGTGCTGCCGTGTGGGTGTTCTGCTGTGTTGCCGTGTGGGTGTTCTGCTGTGTGAAGTGTGCTGCCGTGTGGGTGTTCTGCTGTGTGGGGTGTGTGCTGCCGTGTAGGTGTTCTGCTGTGTAGAGTGTGCTGCCGTGTAGGTGTTCTGCTGTGTAAGTGTGCTGCCGTGTGGGTGTTCTGCTGTGTAAGTGTGCTGCCGTGTAGGTGTTCTGCTGTGTAGGAGTGTTGCGTGTGGGTGTTCTGCTGTGTAGGTGTGCTGCCGTGTAGGTGTTCTGCCGTGTAAGTGTGTGCTGCCGTGTAGGTGTTCTGCTGTGTAAGTGTTGCCGTGTAGGTGTTCTGCTGTGTAAGTGTTGCCGTGTGGGTGTTCTGCTGTGTAAGTGTTGCCGTGTGGGTGTTCTGCTGTGTAAGTGTTTGCCGTGTGAGGTGTTCTGCTGTGTAAGTGTGTTGCCGTGTAGGTGTTCTGCTGTGTAGTGTTGCCGTGTAGGTGTTCTGCCTGTGTAAGTGTTGCCGTGTAGGTGTTCTGCTGTGTAAGTGTGCTGCCGTGTGGGTTCTGCTGTGTAAGTGTGCTGCCGTGTAGGTGTTCTGCTGTGTAAGTGTGCTGCCGTGTAGGTGTTCTGCTGTGTAAGTGTGCTGTCGTGTAGGTGTTCTGCTGTGTAAGTGTGCCTGTGTGGGTGTTCTGCTGTGTAAGTGTGCTGCCGTGTGGGTGTTCTGCTGTGTGGTGCTGTCGTGTGGGTGTTCTGTGTAAGTGTGCCGTGTGGGTGTTCTGCTGTGTGGGGTGTGCGCAGTGGGTGTTCTGCTGTGTAAGTGTGCTGCCGTGTAGGTGTTCTGCTGTGTAAGTGTTGCCGTGTAGGTGTTCTGCTGTGTAAGTGTGCTGCCGTGTAGGTGTTCTGCTGTGTAAGTGTTGCCGTGTGGGTGTTCTGCTGTGTAAGTGTGCTGCCGTGTGGGTGTTCTGCTGTGTGTGGTGTTGCCGTGTGGGTGTTCTGTGTAAGTGTGCTGCCGTGTGGGTGTTCTGCTGTGTAAGTGTTGCCGTGGCAGGTTCTGCTGTGTGGTATGCTGCCGTGTGGGTGTTCTGCTGTGTAAGTGTGTGCCGTGTAGGTGTTCTGTGTAAGTGTACTGCCGTGTAGGTGTTCTGCCGTGTAAGTGGTGTGCCGCGTAGGTGTTCTGTGTAAGTGTGCTGCCGTGTAGGTGTTCTGCCGTGTAAGGTGTGCTGCGTGTGGTGTTCTGCTGTGTAGAGTGTTGCCGTGTAGGTGTTCTGCTGTGTAAGTGTTGCCGTGTGGGTGTTCTGCTGTGTGAGTGTGCTGCCGTGTGGGTGTTCTGCTGTGTAGTGTTGCCGTGTGGGTGTTCTGCTGTGTAAGTGTTGCGTGTGGGTGTTCTGCTGTGTAAGTGTTGCCGTGTGGGTGTTCTGCTGTGTGGGAGTGTGCTGCCGTGTAGGTGTTCTGCTGTGTAGAGGTGTGCTGCCGTGTAGGTGTTCTGCTGTGTAAGTGTTGCCGTGTAGGTGTTCTGCCGTGTGGGGTGTTTGCCGTGTGGGTGTTCTGCTGTGTGAGGTGTGCTGCCGTGTGGGTGTTCTGCTGTGTAAGTGTGCTGCCGTGTGGGTGTTCTGCTGTGTAAGTGTTGCCGTGTGGTGTTCTGCTGTGTAAGTGTGCTGCCGTGTGGGTGTTCTGCTGTGTAAGGTGTTGCCGTGTGGGTGTTCTGCTGTGTAAGTGTGTTGCCGTGTAGGTGTTCTGCTGTGTAAGTGTTGCCGTGTGGGTGTTCTGTGTAGTGTGTGCCGTGTGGGTGTTCTGCTGTGTAAGTGTGCTGCCGTGTGGGTGTTCTGCTGTGTAGGGTGTTGCCGTGTGGGTGTTCTGCTGTGTGAGGTGTTGCCGTGTAGGTGTTCTGCTGTGTAAGTGTGCTGCCGTGTGGGTGTTCTGCTGTGTGGGGTGTGCCGTGTGGGTGTTCTGCTGTGTGAGTGTTGCCGTGTAGGTGTTCTTCGTGAAGTGTGCTGCCGTGTAGGTGTTCTGCTGTGTGGGGTGTTGCCGTGTGGGTGTTCTGCTGTGTAAGTGTTGCCCTCAGGTGTTCTGCTGTGTGGGTGTTGCCGTGTGGGTGTTCTGCTGTGTAGAGTGTTGCCGTGTGGGTGTTCTGCTGTGTAAGTGTTGCCGTGTGGGTGTTCTGCTGTGTGGAATGTTGCCGTGTGGGTGTTCTGTGTGGGGTGTTGCCGTGTGGGTGTTCTGCTGTGTAAGTGTGCTGCCGTGTGGGTGTTCTGCCCGTGTAAGTGTGCTGCGTGGGTGTTCTGTGCAGTTGCTGCCGTGTAGGTGTTCTGCCATGTAAGTGTGCTGCCGTGTAGGTGTTCTGCTGTGTAAGTGTTGCCGTGTAGGTGTTCTGCTGTGTAAGTGTTGCCGTGGGTGTTCTGCTGGGGAGTGCTGCCGTGGGGTGTTCTGCCGTGTAAGTGTGCTGCCGTGTGAGGTGTTCTGCTGTGTAAGTGTTGCCGTGTGGGTGTTCTGTAAGTGTTGCCGTGTGGGTGTTCTGCTGTGTAGTGTGCAGTGTGTTCTGTTGTGGTGTGTTGCCGTGTGGGTGTTCTGCTGTGTAAGTGTGTTGCGTGTGGTGCTGTGTAAGTGTTGCCGTGTGCAGGTGTTGCTGTGTGCCATTGCGGTGGTGTGGTGTTTGCATGTGGGTGTTCTGCTGTGTAAGTGTTTGCAGTGTGGGTGTTCTGCTGTGTAAGTGCTGCCGTGGGTGTTCTGCTGTGTTGCTGCGGTAAGTGTGCTGTGCCGTGTAGGTGTTCTGCTGTGTAAGTGTTGCCGTGTAGGTGTTCTACTGTGTGATGTGCTGCCGTGTAGGTGTTCTGCTGTGTAAGTGTGTTTGCGTGGTGTTCTGTATGGTGTTGCCGTGTAGGTGTTTTGTGCTGTTTCCGTGTGGGTGTTCTGCTGTGTAAGTGTGCTGCCGTGTAGGTGTTCTTGAGTGTTGCCGTGTGGGTGTTCTGCTGTGTGTTTTGTTGTTTGGTGTTGTGTGTAAGTGTTGCGTGTGCGTGTGGTGTTCTGCTGTGTGAGTGTTTGCGTGTGGGTGTTGTGGTGTGTAGGTGTTCTGCTGTGTATTTTTTTGTGGGTGTTCTGCTGTTGTGTTGTGGGTGTTTTTGTGTGCCCGTGTGGGTGTTCTGCTGTGTAAGTGTTGCCGTGTGGGTGTTCTGCTGTGTGGGTGTTTAAGTGTGGTGTTCTGCTGTGTAAAGTGTGCAGTGTAGGTGTTCTGCTGTGTAGAGTGTTGTTGTGTGGGTGTTCTGCTGTGGTATGTGTTGCCGTGTGCTGCTGTGTAGTGTGCTGCCGTGTGGGTGTTCTGCTGTGTAAGTGTTGCCGTGTGGGTGTTCTGCTGTGGTTTGTGGGAAGTGCTGCCGTGTGGGTGTTCTGTGTGTGTGTGTGTTGCCGTGTGTGGTGTTCTTCTGTGTTTGTGTGTGTGTTGCGTTGTGGGTGTGTGTGTTTGTGGGTGTTCTGCTGTGTAGAGTGTGTGCTGTTGTGGGTGTTCTGCTGTGTGTGTAAGTGTGTGCCGTGTGGGTGTTCTGCTGTGTGGGGTGTGTGCCGTGTGGGTGTTCTGCTGTGTAAGTGTTGCTGTGTGGTGTTCTGCTGTGTAAGTGTTGCCGTGTGGGTGTTCTGCTAAGTGTTGGCAGGTGTTCTTGCTGTGTAAGTGTGCTGCCGTGTGGGTGTTCTGCTGTGTAAGTGTTTACGTGTGAGGTGTTATGTGGTGTGTTGCCGTGTGGGTGTTGTTTTGTGTAGGTGTGTTGCCGTGTGGGTGTTCTGCTGTGTAAGTGTGTGCCGTTATGCTGTGCCTTTGTTGTCGTGTGGGTGTTCTGTGTAAGTGTGTTGCCGTGTGGGGTGTTCTGCTGTGTAAGTGTGTGCCGTGTGGGTGTTTCTGCTGTGTATGGTGTTTACTGTGGGTGTGTGTGTGTGTTTCTGCTGTGAGGTGTTGCCGTGGGTGTTCTGCTGTGTGAGTGTGTTGCCGTGTGGGTGTTCTGCTGTGTAAGTGTTGCCGTGTGTGGGTGTTCTGCTGGTGTAAGTGTTGCCGTGTAGGTGTTCTGCTGCTGTAACAAGTGTGCTGCCGTGTAGGTGTTCTGCTGTATAAGTCTGTTTGCTTACGTGTAGGTGTTCTACTGTATGAAATGCTGCAAATGTGTAGGTGTTCTGCTGTGTAAGTGTTGCATGTGAGGTGTTCCTGCTGCAAAATGTTGCCGTGTAGGTGTTTCGCATGGATATTGAGTGTTCTATGTAATGCACCCGTGTAAAGTGTTCCTGCCTGTAAATTATTTTGTGGTATCTATATGCAGTATTTGATGTGGAGTGTTCTTTGCTGTATGCAGTGTTGCCGTGGGTGTACCTTTTAATATGAGTGTTGCCGTGTGGAGTGTTCCTGCTGTGTAAGTGTGCTGCCGTGTAGGTGTTCCTGCTGTGTAATTAACACCGTGTAGGTGTTCTGCTGTAAGTGTTGCCGTGTAGGTGTTCTGCTGTAGTGTTGCCGTGGTGTATTATGAAATTATTATACATTATGGTGTTCTACCGTGAGTGTTCTATATGTAGGAAGTGTTGCCCGTGTGGAGTGTTCTGCTGTGTAAGTGTTGCAGGTGTTCTATAGTGTTCTGCAATATGGTGTGTTGCCGATGTGGGTGTTCTGCCGTATGAGAGTGTGTTTTCTGTGGGTGTTCTTTCTAATGTATTTGCCGTGTAAAATTGTGCGAGGTGTAAGTGTTTGTTGCCGTGTAGTTGTTCTGCTGTATGAAAGTGTTGCCGTGTGGGTGTTCTGCCGTGTAAGTGTGCTGCCGTGTAGGTGCTGCATTGCGTGTAGAGTGTTCTGCTGTGTAAAGTGTTGCCGTCATGGGTGTTCTGCTGTTGTGCTTCTGTAAGTGTTGCGTGGTGTTCTGCTGCTGTGTAAAGTACTACCCGTGTAGGTGTTCTGCTGTATATGTTTAAGTGTTCTACTGTGTAAGTGTGTTGCCGTGTAGGTGTTCATATACCATTAAGTGTTCTTTATGGTGTTATAGGTGTTCTGCTGTGCCGTGTTGCATGTAGGTGTTCTGCTGTATGAAAGTATTGCCAGGTGTTCTGCCATTAGTGTGCTGCCGTGTAGGTGTTCTACTATGTAAGTAACGCATGTAGGTGTTCTGCTGTAAGTGTTGCCGTGTGGGTATTTCTGCTGTGTATATTTTACCCGTGGTATGCCTTTAAATGCGCAAACAATATTTA